CCAGTCCGGAGCGTCCCGCCTGGCAGGTCACCCCTCCTGCTGGAGCGCTGGCTGCGGGATGGTTCCTCGGCAGACAGCACTAAGCCCAGTTCCTCCAGCCACCCTCACCGGTCTCTGTTCTGCGCTGTGTGCTGTGGTGCTGGACTGTGGGTTCAGTTCTGCTCTCCCTGGGCGTTGCCCAAGGGCTTGTGACCCCCAGGGTGGACCTTCCCAGGACACTTGAGCACGACCTCGGGCCGTTTTCCAGATCCTCACTCATCACCGCTGCTGTGGCTGCAAATGCCCTGCCCGGACCCGGTGCCTTGTCCACCTCCTGTCTCAGGATCCAGGGTCCACAGGGGCTGAGAAGGGGGCTAAGCTGAGCCTGGAAATGAGCAGGAATGGCCGCCCTTCTCTGGTCCCAGGGCTGGGGCCAAATGGAGAAAGGAGAGAGACTGGTCTTTCTGGACCCTATGACCGTTTCTGAGTCCTTGCCTGGCCTCTGGGACCTGCGACTCTGGTCCATGACTGGGCTGAGCCTCACATTAAGCGTCTCTGCCATGCAGCGTTAGTCACACTGTGCATCACTACGGGTCTCGGGTCCCGCAGGAAGCCATTTTGGGGTAGGAGTGCCTAGGTCCACAGAGCGCCGGGCCAGCCCTGCCTTTGCCTTAGAAGGGGCCTGAGTTTTGACCTACAATATATGAGTCCTGGTGCACTTTGTGGGGTGTCTACGCTGCAGCTGGCCTCGGGCTTTAGAAAACGCCCTCTGCCCCACAAAAGAGCTCAGTGGGGTTGGCAGACACCCCCCCACCACCACCACCTATCCACCACCACTGCTCACATCCTTCTCTTCCTAATCCTCTGGCTCTGCCAGCCACCCCTGACACCCAGAGCCACAGAGAGCAACCAGGAGTCATAAGGTGGACTATCAGCTGGCTCCCCTAAGCTGCCCAGAGTCTTGGCATCCTCATCTCACAGTAGGGGGGAGAGACCCCCCCACACCCACCCCCACCCCCGCAAAGGCTCCCAGGAGAGGAAGTGCTTTGGATTAAAACACTTCACGCACACGGGTGCTTATCCACCGCACACTAATGCCGCCCCAGGCCGCCCCATCTCCCCACTGCTCACTCCCTGCCTTGCTCCCTCTCCTGCAGGGTTGGGGGAGAAGGGGCCTTGAGAGGGTGGGTGGTCAGTCACCCTCACTGGCTATTACAGGCCACCATCTTGTCAGGGGCTCCCAAGGGAAAGGAGCCTGCAGCCACTGTCCTGTGTGATGAAGGCCCCAGCAGTGAGGGCCTCAGGTGGGGAGAACTGAGATCCTGGGATGGGGCCCCCACCACTGACGCTGGACTCCCACCTGACATGGACCCACAGATGATGCAGGGGAGAGGCAAGCCTTGCTCTGCCACTGATCCTCACTCACTTACCCTGGGTCTTGGTTTCCTCCTGTGATTGAGGGATACTGGTTCCCACACTGACGACACGGGGAGAAGACCACCCCCTTCCTGACCTTTTGCCTTGGACCTTCCCCACACACACTGCTGTCACTACTAGATTTGCAGGTCCTGCCCTGTCATTTATCAAGTGGCTTCCAGCTTCCGGCCTCCCTGAGCCCCGCGCCTTCCAGCTGGCTGGATGACATCAGCACTCACGTAGACGGTGACCTGTCGGCACCCTGGTCTCACGGGTCCTTGAGTGCCCCCTTCCAGTGGCCCACTCTGCCCCACTGAGCCAACCACCTCACGCCCTGCTCTGGGTTTGTCATCACTTGTAATGGATCCACCTCCAACAAGTCTACCCCCGTGCCCAGCTCCGGACCAGCTCCTTGCCCTCCACTGACTGTCCCTGCCACTGCGTTCTTCTCCGTCCATGGGCCTCTGCTTCTTTCCAGCTCCTCCTTCCTGCCCTGGCCCAACGTCTCTCCTACCCCCACCTTCTCATCTAGCCTCTCCATCTGACAGTTTTGCGAGCCCCAGCTCCCTCTGTCCCCCTCTTGGGTCACCACATCTGGCATCAGACCCGGATGAAGTCGCACGTGCCTTGTCCCTGTACCCAGCAGTCAAGCGCACTGGGTGGCATGAGAGACAGAGAACAGGGCAGGGGGCTTGCTCACCAGCCATGGAGGGTCCTAATTCCTTAGCTACCCCAGGCAGGTTCTCCCCACTTAACGATCATTTCAAACCTTCTCTATTTCCCTCATGCCTCCAAACCCCTTCCCATGAACTCTCAGCGAGGTCCTTGCATACTACTTGTCCAAGATGACAGTCACCAAACAGAAAACCCCTCAGCTGACAAGCAATGAAGTTACCAACACCCTGCCTCCCGTCTCCTTTCTCCTGCTCCAGCTCACCCTGCCCTGGTCCTCCTGCACTCAGGAATCTCAAACTATTGACTAGCCCTTCATAACTCAAGCAAGTCCTGACTATGGCTTTAGATATTTTAGAATTCCGTCCCGGGATCAAAGGGAGGGATCAGGGCCTCCCTGGTGGCATAAGGGGTTGAGACGTAACCTTTGAAGCTGTGCACAGCCTCTGCAGCATGAGATTGATCCCCCAGTTGGCCAGCAACCCACATGGCGCAGCATGCCTCTCCTGGCTCGCCCACTGCTCCCCTCAGCAGTGTATTTCACTAGATCCCCCTGTTTTGCTCCCCACTCTGTCTCTGGTGAATCCTCTCACCCCCCCCACACACACACACCTCTGGCCTGTACCCCAGCTCTTGTTGTTCTGAGAATGAAATGCATTAAGCCACTTAGAATGGCGGCTAGTATATCATAAGCAGTCAATAAATATTAGCTCTTATTTTCTGCCCCTCTTGTCTCTTGCCCATGCCCCCTTGTCTCTCTGGCCACATTTGCTTTCTCCAGGCTTCTTATTCTCATCAGCTCCCTTGTCCACAGGGCCCACGCACATGCTGTTTTTGTCCAGACTTTCCTTCTTCCCTCCTTGCTGTGCACCACCTGCCATGCAACATGCAGGTCACAACTGAGTATAACTTCCTTGGGGAGACCCTCCTGGGGTTCCCTGCTGTGGTCATTATTTCCCTTTTTTTTTTTAAAGATTTATTTATTTATTTATACAAGCACTGGGTACAGTCAGAAGCACGGGAGGGTGAGAGGATTCACCAGAGCCAGAGAGGGGAACAGAACAGGCAGACTGGCGCAATACACTGCTGAGGGGAGCAGCGGGCGTGGCAGGGGAGGTCTGCGCGCCATGTGGGACCCTTGCTGGCAGCCGGGGATTGAACCGGCGCTGCAGACGGCTGCAGGCTGCAGGAGGCTTCGCAGCCCAGCGCTCAACCGCTGTGCCACCAGGGGAGGCCTTATTTCACATTTATGTTGGGATAACAATCTCTCTCTCCTCCAAGACCGCAAACGCCGCAAGAGCAGAAACTGCGTTTCTCTCTGTCACCTTTATCTCCAGCATGCGGAAACGTGTCTGACATATAATGAACACTCGAAGATTCTCCATGAGCGAAAGCCCCGAGGCCTAAAGAGAGCTTAACCCACAGTCATTCTGCCAGACAACACCGTTCCACTTGGAGGGGTTTTATTTTTATTTTTATTTTTTTTTTTTAGAGGCATGTTTTTATTTATTTATTTGTTTGTTTGTTTATACATGCACTGGGTATAGCCAGAAGCGTGGGAGGGTAAGAGAATTCACCAGAGCCAGAGTGGGGAGCGGAACAGGCAGAAGGACCGAAGTACACTGCTGAGGGGAGCAGTGGGCGGCAGGAGAGGTCTGCGCACCATGTGGGACCCTCCTCAGGTGGCCGGGGAGCAGCCGGGGATCGAACCGGCGCTGCAGAGGCTGCGGGCAGCTTCGCAACCCAGCGCTCAACCACTGCGCCACCGGGGAGGCTTGGAGGGGTTTTATACAGTGTTTCCCTGTCTCAAGTACTTCCGCCACTGCCAACCACAGTGGTTGAAAATTCTCCACTGTGGCCCATCATTTGATGAGGGGGTCATCATCTCAGCAATCCGAGCGCATCTGCCGGCCGCAAGGTGAGCGCCTCCATGGAATCTTCACTGCTCACAGCTGGGGCAGGCACAGAACTCAGAACCCCAGAGCAGCGAGTATCTGAGCAGAAAGGCAGACTAAACACCATCCAGCCATCTGCTGTAGCTACAGATTCGGAAACTGAAGCCCAGAGGGGAATGGAAGCAGCCCACAGAACACAGCAAGTTCATGGTCGTATCAGAACTAGAACCCAGTCACCTGAGAACAAGTCTGGGACTAGTTCACTAGTTCACTCATGTGCTAAGTATTAAGCACTACTCTGGGCGAGAGACATAAATACACATGTGTACACTCGTCAACAGCTGTCATAGGACAGTTGAGGTTTGTGCTCGCACAGACAGCCTCCCACGTGCGCTGGGGGAGCGCAGAGGAGAAAGCAACCAATTCTGGGCCGAATCAGGGCTCACTGCATGGAGGAGGTGGTATATCTGAAGTGAACCTTGAAGGAATGAGCACAAAGAAGCTGGAAGGAAAAGAAGTGGCACCCATCCTGAGGCTGAGGTGTGTGTTTGGGGACCACCCCAGGCAGCTTTAAACTACAGGAAAGAGGCAAGAAGACAAAAGGCCCAAAAGAAGTGAGGGTCAAGCAGAAGGAAGAGGAGGCTCTGGGAGGCCCTCAAGCTCCTTCTTCTGCGGGACATTCTCCAAACCAAGGACCACCCTTCCCTCCCGCCAACACCGAGCTCAGCGGAGGCCAGACACACGCCTGCCCTGACTCCCTGCCCCCAGGGAACCACACCAAGCGCTGCTGCTCTTCCAGGTGGCGGTGTCCTCCCCATGTGGAGCTGCTGCGGACTGAGGCTTGGAGGGAGGTGCATCAAGGGCCCGGGAAGAGTCCCGCAGGTTCCCGATGGGAACACTAAGCTGCAGCCCAGAGAAGCCAGGCAGGAAACAGTCAAGGTTAATACAGGAGATAGAGGTGCTTCAAGGACACAGGGGCCAAGTTTGGGGGTGCGGTTGGTAACTAGACTCTGAAGACTTCCCAGCCCTAGCGTTGTTGTTCCCGAGCAGAACCTATTTCTCATCAGCCTCCGCCTCCTGGGGTTGCAGGGCCAGGCCAAGACAGGGCTGCTGCTGGCGTCACTGGGCACACGGCTGCTTTCCCACAGCCCTGTGCTTGCGCCCCCGCTCCACATAGGAGACCTGGTCACCCTTCACCCACCTAGCTTGGTCCCTCCAGGGAATTTTTTACGGGTTGCCCTGCCGTCTGCCCCAGGTGATAAATCAGGGCAGAGCAGGATGCAAGACTCCTGCGTGGAGGATATAAAAGGAGAAAAGCCCTGAGAGGCACAGGCTTCGCGGCTCCCAGAGCAAGAAGGGCTGGGGCAGCATGGACCCATGGAGCAGAACGCCTCTCTATGGGCTCCTGCTGGTGCTCTGCAGCTCCTGCACCTTCAGTTTCCCCGCAGACACCAGCGCCTTCAGAAGGTAAATTGGGGTGCAGGGGCTCCCTCCTTCCTTCCACCCCAGCTTTCAGATATGTGATGCCCCCAGTCTTCATGACCAGCTGGGCTGGGAGTTGAGGTCCCATTCAGAGAAGTAAGGTGGCATGCCCATGGTCACAGGGCCCATCGTTCTACCAGTCTGGCCTGGAAGCCCTGCCTTTGGATCCCTGTCCAGAGCTTTTGATTCCTGACAGATCCCCGTTCTGGGGATCTTTAGTGGGGAACTAAAGGATGATAAAGAGCCACTTGCCCTCGGGGAGCTCACAAGCGGGGTATGAAGGATGTGGTCCATGAAGTCTACCAGTTGGAGGGTCTTGCTTTAGATTCTGCTCCACCAGCAGAACTACCTACCTCTGGAGCCATAGGTAACTTGACCTTTTCAGGTCTCATTTTTAAAACAGGCATAATAGCGGTACCTACTTCACGATGTGATTTGAAGATTTAATGAGATGACGACTGTAAAGCCCAGCCTCAATGCAGGGGTGTTGTAAGAGCCGAGCTGCTACTGACACTACAGGGTGGATAATCAGCAACATCAGAGCAAGGCAAAGGCAGCCCAGAGCAGGGAGGAGAAAGACGTAGCTGGTAGCCAAGGGTGCCCCCAGAAACAAGCCATTCATTAAGGCTGCAGAAGTGGGGAGGCTGGTGGGAGAGGGCCTTGGGAAAGCCTGCAAAATGCTTAGGATTTCGTAGGGCTTTTCCCATAGCTCATACTATCCTCTCCCAACCCAGCAGTCCCATTTTACAGATGAGGCCACTGAGGCTCTGGAGGTCACATGTAAGAGGCAGACGCTGCTCGTGCACTGGGCCTCTTGTTTCCAAAGCCTTTCCCCAGCTCTGAAGCCCCCGAGGGTAGCTGCTGGGTCGGGGCTGTGGGGTGAGAGCCTGGTGCTTATGCTGAGCAGAGCCCCCAGCCTAGGTCAAAGGCAGAGGGGAGTTAAAACAGTCTCTCTGTTCTCTCCAAAAAGAGAATAATTTTCATTCTTGGGGGCGGGGGGCCAGGTTTTGAAGCAGTCATGGGGTCTTGCCACCTGCTGTGTGTAGGGCATCACTGTGGGGATCTGAGCACAGGACCCCATTCTTGCGGGGCTTCCGCAACCTTTACATACATGAGGTACATTCAGCAAGAGCCAGAGGTTCTTGGAGGTAAGTACCGCCTGTAAACCATTTTCACAGAGGAGTTAGTGGGGCTCGGCAAAGACCGGAGAGGTTGGGTAAGTTGCGCAGGATCGCACAGGTACTCAGGGACTCCAATTTATCCCCACAACCTCTAAGCTTTCACTGCCAGATGGCACCAGCTCCATGAACCCCAGGCTGTGCAATGCTGACTATGAGCACCCTGGGGAAATAAAACAGGGGCCCCAGCAACAGTGAGGCCAGTGTTAAGTGGGGTTCATGAGGCAAGCTTCCAGAAGGTGGGGTGCATGCTAGGCTTTGAAGGGTGAAAGAGCTGGGTTGGGGGAGAGGAGAAAGAAGAGCGTGCACAGGCTGCTCAGAGTGAATAGTGGATAATGCACCCTCTTTAAGGTCAAGCCTTCTCTGTCCCCCCATTTTCCCATCTGTAAAATGGGAATAACATTACCTACTTCAACTTGGCTGGGAATGAATGATCATAATTGGAAAAGTATTTTGTAAGCTGAAAACTGTACTGTGGATGTGACAAGTCATTTCCATTAAAACCGTGCACTAACAGGCATGAAAGCTGTGCACATGTTCATGGGCATAATGGGCACATGAATGCATGGGCGTGGGCAGGCAAGAATAGCACAAGTGCAGGATGAGGAGTTGAGAAGAAAGAGGGGTTCTCCACAAACTGGGCTGCAGCCTTGGGAACCCCTGGAGGCCTCTCTTCCAGACCCCTGTCAACAGTATTCACGTCGGAGCCCAGGGCACTTTGTGAGAAACAGCCCAGACATACCACTGTGGATCACTTCTGAGTCCCCTTATTCCCGTGAATCTTCGTGTCTTATCTATAAGGAGAAGATGAAGACAGCTTGTTTGCAGAACGTTATGAGAGCTCCGTGGGGGCCGTGTACCGTGTTGGCACTCACTCCTGGCAGCTCAGCAGGCAGTGCATTTCCAGGACTCTTAATTCTGTTTCCTGGAGGTGGTAGAAAGGTGCCAGGACAGGAAGTGGAGGGGCTGGGACTTGGGCTCTGGAAGGCACACCACACCTTTCCTTGGAAAGGACACCCTCCCTGCCCATCCCAGCTCACCACTCTCCTCCATGCCCCCCAGCCAAACTGGGCGCTGTGCTTGGCGTCCTGCAGCCCAGGCCAGCAGCTGCTGCGGGCATCTGCTGCCACCTTCAGGGCCCACCTGGCACTGCCTCCTCCTGTCCGGCCTGAAGCGGTCTCTCCCAGCCTTCATCTCCTTGAAGGGGATGTCATTGCCTGTCTTGTCCCCTGTGGGAACTCCTTGAAGCTGCAACAATCTTTATATTTCTAACACCCAGCTGAGTGCAGGTGCAGAATAGGTGTTCAACATGTGATCTGGAATGGAGGAAGGAATGAATGCAGCAACAGGGATCAAAATCACAGCACTAGGAAGCTAGTGAGTTGTTTAATACCAGCGGGGGATTCAAGGAGGCATGTACATTCTCCCTCGGAGGCTTTAGGGGACAGGGGTGGTTCCTGAGCACCAGGGCTAATTTAGGGGTCGTGTATGAGTCGTGTCAGGAACCCTGCTGCCATCATTTCGGGGAAATACAGTGCTCCTCTTTTTTCTTTTTTTTTTTTGCCTCCATGCTGGGCCAGGATCTTCCTTAAGAAAATGCCCTCAGTCCGGGAAAGCCTGAAGGAGCGAGGAGTGGACGTGGCCAGACTGGGCGCCGAATGGAACCAGTTTGCCAAGACACTCTCCTTGGGCAACAGCACCTCCCCTGTGGTCCTCACCAACTACCTAGACGTGAGTGCCTTGACTCAGAGCCTGGCTTGGGTTAGGTTTGGAGCTTAGGCTCAGGTTCTGACCTCAAGCCAGGTGCTCCTGGCAGGCAGGAGAGGGGTGTGGCCTCAGTGGGGTTTCTGTGACCAGGCTTGGCTCGGCTTGGCAGCTTACTGCCTCGGCACTTCCTCAGGGGTCGGGGCACCTTCTTGCTTCAGGATCAGGATGTTTTGTTTTATTTTACCCTCTTGTCTCACTTTCTGGGAAGTCAGAAGATGGTGTTAATCCCTGCTGGAAAATGAAAGCCTGTGATCTATTTATCTCATTCAAGTGGCAACGGGGCTATGGGGAGAGGCCCCAAGATTCTGTGAGCTCCTCTAGCTGCCTCTGTCACCCCACAGACCCAGTACTATGGCGAGATCAGCATTGGCACCCCACCCCAGACCTTCAAAGTCATCTTTGACACAGGCTCTGCCAACCTCTGGGTCCCCTCCAGCAAGTGCAGCCCTCTCTACATGGCCTGTGGTGAGCCCCAAGCCCGCTGCCCGCACACCCAGCAGCCCTGCCCCATGCACTGCTAACCTCTTCCAGCCACCATCTGAGCTGCTTCCCTTCTGTCTCTGCTCTGCTGCCCCTGGGGGGGAGGTGCCCCCATTCCCCTGACATACCACCAAGATGATAAGCAAGCTCCAGGAGCCCCAGCCCACCTAGAGGGTCACCCCTCCCAAGACTGAGAAAGGACTAGAGTCTCAAAGCCATGCTAGGCCCTCGGGCTCTGCCCTCCTTAGTCAACAACCTCTTAGCGCGTGCTGATGATGAGATTGTTCTACCCAGCTCAGTGTTAGACATTACTTTAAAATACGTTGCTTGACACAAAATTCTCAGAGATACAGGAACCAAGAAACACAGTCCTTGATTGATGAAACACACCTTCCAAGTCTCTGACCTCTGGGCCACCCATTGCCCAGTGTCTAAGCCCTGAACCACACACACCTGCCTCTGAGACACCCCCCATGCTCCTCCCGCCCCCACTACCCCCCACCTGTGGCCTGGGCTCTCAGACAGATCCAAGCCTCTGTCCTCCTGCCAGAGATTCACAGCCCCTATGACTCCTCGGAATCCTCCACCTACATGGAGAACGGGACGGACTTCACCATCCGCTACGGATCCGGGCAGGTCAAGGGCTTCCTGAGCCAGGATGTGGTGACTGTAAGTGGGGCTGCCCCAGGTCATCTGACCCCCTGACAAGTGTCCCCAGACCTCCCTGCCACTCTACTAGGGGAATCCGCCTTGGAGCCGAGGCCCTGTGGCCCTTCGTTGCTGGGGGTGCAAAGCAGCAGTAACTGGGCAGACAAACTTGAGTTCCGGGTGATTTACAGAGGTTTCTACATCTAACTCAATATGTGGGATTTGTCCAGAGCCCCCGGGCTCCACTTGGGCTCTCCACCGGATATTGACTGATTCCCATAGCCGTCAGGGGTCAACGTGCTGTTGACATTTTGGGCAGCACATGTTTTAGGGCAAAGATTTTAAGGTCACATTGAGGTTAGAGTCTGGGATCAGGGTCAGGCTGGGCTTGGATGTTTTGTTAGGCCCGTGTCTGCCCTTTCCCCATCTGGGCTTTCTTCAGCCCCGGCTCTGTCAGGCCGAGGGCAGAGGCTCTCACGGAGCCGGAGCAGAGACCAGTGTGATCACTCGCCCCTTGTCTGTGAAATCGGAAAAAGGAGCAGGATGGTGGGCCCGGCTGTGCTGCAGAATCCTCAGCCCATGATGGGGGACCAGGCCCCAGCAGCTTTCACCTGCCCATGTGAAAGCTGGACCTATGGTGGGGGAGAGTAGGGGCGAAGGGGGCTCCTGGCACCCTTTTCCGTTACAGCTGGGCAGGACCACCTTTTCAGCCTCTGCCCCATCCAGTCACTGGGTAACCCCAGTTCTCTCTGGACCCCAAAGCCTAGATGCATATTAGGAAAAAAAGGATGTGTGTGGAGTTGATGAAATGGTCTTACCCCAAATTGCTGCAGTCTGGAACTGGACCCCCAGTGTGGAAGCCCAGACAAAACTCTGGCCAGTGACTTTGGCCTCCTGGGGTCCTTCCTCCCACAGGTGGGCGGGATCACGGTGACGCAGACGTTTGGCGAGGTCACGGAGCTGCCCCTCATACCCTTCATGCTCGCCAAGTTTGACGGGGTCCTGGGCATGGGCTTCCCTGCGCAGGCCGTCGGTGGGGTCACCCCAGTCTTTGACCACATCCTCTCCCAGGGGGTGTTAAAGGAGGATGTCTTCTCTGTCTACTACAGCAGGTGGGTCTGGGGCCTGCCAAGGTGGGGACTGGGGATGGAAGAACTGGGAGAGAAAGAGGGGAGTTGGGGGGAAGATTCTAATGTGTTCCTGACTAGATGGTATTCAATCCCTCTCTATAGTTGCGCTGCCCCCTACTTTAAATTTAAATTTAATTAAAATGAAATAAATAAGCTCTTAATTTTTTAGTCTCAGAAGCTGCATTTCAGTAGTTTGGCCTTCACATGACTACTGACCACTATGTGGAAGCTACTACTATCCTTCCACAGACCCCACCCTCATCACTATAGAAAGTTCTACTAGACAATGCTTTCTAGAACGAAAGGGGAATATGGGGTAGGGGTGCTGGGAAGAAAGGCATTGCCTCCACCTGGGTTCCTCCCTGTCAGGGGCTCCTCTCACATAGAGACAGCCAACTGCATTCATTCATTCATTCATTCACTCATTCAACAAGTTTTGGGCATTTATGTGCCAAGCATTGTGCAGGGTCTGGAGGTTCAGTACTGACAGTGGGCGAGACAGATGCCTGAAACCACGGAGCCTACAGCCTGGTGGGGAAGACAAACAGCACCACATGTGCAACTCCAGGGAGCCTAGGCTGAAGCCAGGAGGAACCTTGTGGCTCTAAGACAGCAGTTCAGTGGCTTTGGGGAGCCGTCGTCGGCTGCTGAGCAGGGTTGTGATCTGATCCAAGCCACTGGGCTTCAGAAGATGGCATGAGGTGGAGGCGAGGGCCTAAGGGTAAAGACCCAAGTCCAGTGGCCTCGAGGACACAGGAGTGGTTTGGAGTCCAGAGAAATCTCAGTGGTCAAATGGAGAGGAGTGTCTGGTTTGGTGAGAGAGGGAACTTTCAGGAAAGGTCACTATTGGGGCTCTGCAGCCTGGGGCCATGTGGGGAAGAGCTGTTTTAGAGGCTAGAAGGCCAGCAGTTCAGCCACAGGTGTGGGTGGCAGGAAGTGAAGGACAGGTGTAGGCTGCCTTGAGAAATTCAGCAGGGAAAGGAATGTCAGGTGCGTGCAGGCAGCCATGCGAGAGAACAGAGAAAAGAAAGGTGTTGTTAGATGCTAGTGAGTGGCTGAGTATGCTTGCAGGTGGAGGCAGAAGCCAATGGAAAGCCAGAAATGAAAATGTGGAAGAAAAGAGATCATTGAGGGCCCAGGAGCCTGGGGACCATGGAAGAGAGGAGGAGCCACCAAACAGGAAGAGGGGGGTAGTTGAGGAGATGGCCTGCCTCTTCCTTTTCCCTGGGATGAGCGGGAGGAAATGTCCAGAGATCAGGAAGTGTTGAGAGAGGGGCTGGGCAGAAATTGGACTGGCATATGCACATAGGTTCTGGGTTTGTAAAATGCAGTTTATTGCACTTGCACAAATAACAAATAACACATGTACATCTACTCAGCATGCTCACATGCCTATTATGAATGCTGGAAAATCACCTCTCTTTCTCTCTCTCTCTCTCACTCTCTCTCTCTCTCTCTCTATCACACACACACACACACACACACACACACACACACACTCTTTGGAGACCAGCCCTAAGGCTGACCCTGAGCTGTGGGAGGCAGTGTGCAGCACAGACAGGAGGAAAGTCAGGGGATCAGCTTTGGCTCCAGCCCCCTACTAGCCACCTGGGTGACTTCACCTCTTGGTGACTCCATAGCCTGAAAGGTAAAAAGGGTACACAGACCTACCCTGCCCAGAAACAGGCTGGTGAGGCACCCCTAAAACAAAGGCTTGCTTTCTGCTGTGTCTGTTTCTCTGCAGAAATTCCAAGTAAGGAGACAAGAGTCCCCACATGGCCTTGACCTTGCAGAGCACCTGGCCCAGAATCACAGGCCACCTGTCCAAGCCAGGCTCAGAGGGAGGCCCAAGTTCTCCACCCCTCCTTCCTGCTTGCCTCCTGCCCCCTCCCTGCCCTGCCCTGCCCACCCAACCCCACAGCTCCCCATAACCCCTCCCAGCACCTGCTCCACCCAGAGCGCAGACAGGGTGGGGCCAATTTGCATCTTGTTTGCATTCTGCTCTGGGTCCTTTCCAGGGGGTCTTACTGGGATGCTATATTGGGTACAGCTGGACTATTCTGGAGATGCCTCTGGTTGGGTTTGGGGAGGGGCAAGAAAGATATGTTCTGGGGCCTCAGATGGAGCTCCCAGCCTTGCCATCCACCTGGTCCTCCTCTTCCCCCATCCTGCCCCTGACCCAACATCCCTTGCGGCTGTGGCCACTGGGTCTTGGAGATTTCTGGTCTCCAAGACCCTCTAATGTTTCCCTTAGGAATTCCCACTTGCTGGGGGGAGAGATTGTGCTGGGAGGCAGCGACCCTCAGTATCACCAAGGGAATTTCCACTACGTGAGCGTGGGCAAGACTGGCTCCTGGCAGATCAAAATGAAAGGGTCAGGAACCTTCACCCTCCCCACGCACAACATCACTGCGGACCCTGGGGGGTGGGCTGGGAGGGCAGGGCCGCCCTCCTGTACCCCCTGTGCTGCAGCCACTTAAGACACAGACAGCATTTGTTCTGGGCCTACTGTGTCCAGGGACAGGGAACACGGAGGCCTGAGGAGCAGTGGGAGGGGCCCCCTAAAAGGAGCCGGAGTGTCACTCAGCCACATGCTGGGGAGGGGGCTGCACTTTTCCTCCCAGCTCATGCTTGGCGGGTCCTACAGTCCGCCATGGCCACCTGCATGACCTCCCTCAACCGCCCTCACTCAGGAAAGCTCTGCAGCCCTGTGGTGCTCATGTGCCTTTGTCTGACTTGACCTCTCCCAGGGTGTCTGTGAAATCGACCACCCTGCTCTGTGAGGAGGGCTGCGTGGCGGTGGTGGATACCGGCGCTTCCTACATCTCGGGTCCCACCAGCTCCCTGAGGCTGCTCATGGAGACCCTGGGGGCCAAGGAGTTGAGCACAGACGAAGTAAGAAGCTGGTGGTAGGAAAGGGGCCAGGGGAGGGGGGTAGACGTGTGGTCCAGGCCCTGAAATCATCCCCAGCATTGCCCTCCTCACCTCTCACACTCTTCACCCAAAGCATTTGGTCCCCTCCAGCAGAGGGCCTGGACCATGTCTCCCACACTCAGAGGCTCCCTTTCCCCTCCCCCCAGTATGTCGTGAACTGTAACCAGGTGCCCACACTCCCTGACATCTCCTTTCACCTCGGAGGCAGAGACTACACCCTCACCAGCGCGGACTATGTGTTACAGGTGAGTCTTGAGTCCACCCTGGGTGACAGGGAGGGAGGGTGGGCAGAGGCCCCCAAAAGGACAAGGCGTCATGCACAGATGACATGCGATACCAGCACCCCCCTTGGCTGTGAGAGTCACCTGGGGGGTTTTGCAACAACCCACACTTATTAAATAAGACCCTCTGTGGGTAGCACCTGGCATCAGAGTCTTCCAAATGCCCAGGTGATTCCAACGTGCAGCCAAACTTGGGGATCATTGTGCTCGCCCCTTATCTCCATGCTCTCATCAAATGCTCCTAGGATTGCTATGCTTTTCTCCTTTTTATGCTTGACAGACTTAGAAAAGTCAAATAACGAGTCTAGGAGCGGCAGCTCCTGAAGGCAGCGCTGTGCCAGATGCCTTGTTTCCTTGGTGTCCAGTACAGTACCTATATCCAAGAGGGCTCGAACCAAAGGGCCAGGATGCTCTGGGGCCCAGAATGCCTGGGGCCCAGGTGATAGGGTGGATGCTGTGGCTGCTGGGGTCAGACAAGGTGAAGGGAGATGGCTATGTGTGAGGAAAACTTCTTGCTTCCTGCCAGGACCCCTACAGTAACAGTGATCTATGTACCCTGGCCCTCCATGGCCTGGACGTCCCGCCACCCACTGGGCCTGCCTGGGTCCTGGGCGCCAGCTTCATCAGGAAGTTCTACACGGAGTTTGATCGACATAACAATCGTATTGGCTTTGCCTTAGCCCGCTGAGTCTGCTCGGTCCTTGCGCAGGGCCAGAGGACTCGGTGGGCCCATAGGGCCGTGTGTGTGTCCTCACGGAGTGGAGCTTCTCCCTAGCACTTGCCTTGTGCCCAGCACCAGTTCTTCCCTGCTTTGAGGACAAAGAGAATAAAGACTGTATGTTCACATGTCTATCGGGCCTGCCTTCACTCGGGTTTGAAACAGGGACCTGCTGTGTGTTCACGTACAGACAGGAACGTGACACTGAATGACATATTCCACGCTCACTGGCAGGCACAGGTTCCTGCGTGCAGGGGTGGTGACAGGGTTGGGGGTGGGGGAGTTGTTTACACAACCTTGGTGGGAAGTTTGCAAAGAGACAGCCCTGTACCCCCCGAAGCCCCTGAAGGGCCAGGCTAAGCCACAGTACGCCGTGGAAGCTCAGACTGCACTGTTGAACTGGGCAGCCCCTACCCATCCCACCTAGCCCTTTATACACGCGCAGCCTAAGGCATCACCTCCTAAACATGACACCACCTGGGGTCCAACTGATATTCTGGGGAAACTGAGACTCAGAGAATGAAGGCATTTTCCCAAAATGGCTGGGTGAGTGAAAAATCAAGACTGGGACCCAGTTGGTCTGAGGTTCCACGGTCTTCCCACCTTTCCTCATAAAGGTTTACCTTCTCAGGTAGAGAGTTGCACACACCTGGTATGGGCCAAATGCACAAGCCCACAGATACCTGACATCTCCCACTCATTCTATCTGCTTTTTGGACTGTCTTTGGGGGATGTGTGCCTTGGGGGATCCACCCAAACTCACTGACACTATCCCTATTGATGCTAGCTGCCTGCTCCTCTGTTGACCAAAAAGGGTGAGGGTTCCCATGCCTTTAGAACTGCAGCCTCTTGGGACTCCCCCAGGGCAGCAATCTTGTGGGCAGGAGCTGTCTGGCAGTGTCCCTGTGCAACGTAAAGACCATGAGGCTGGGCCTTCGCGGTGGCACAGCGGGTTGAGCACAGACAGCGCTGTGAAGCTGTCCGCAGCCTCTGCAGTGCTGGTTCGATTCCCAGCCGCCCAGGGAGATTCCCACATGACGCGGCAGACCTACCTCTTCTGCCTCGCCCGCTGTTCCCCTCAGCAGTGTATTTTGGTCCTTCTGCCTGTTCTGCTCCCTGCTCTGCCTCTGGTGAATTCTCTCACCCTCCTGCACCTCTGGCCTGTACCCCAGTGCTTGTATAAATAAATAAATCGTTAAAAAAAAAAAAGGTAAAGACTTAATTAAAAAAAAAAAAAAGACCATGAGGCTTTACACAGGAAACTGCACTCCCTGCCTAGTTCCCCCCGATTCTCTGAGTTTGTTGCCTGCCTGGCTTTATTTCTTCAACACAAAACAGAAGCGCTGGGGTCAGTGTCCTTTCCAGTTGATATCTTGGGGTTGGTTCTATGACCTTGAGAAGACAGATCCCCCATATCTCCTTCACTGTCAATATAATAGTCACTATGTGGTTATTTACATTGAAATTAAAGTACTGCAGGGTCTCCCTGGTGGTGCAAGGGGTTCAGCACAGCACTGTGAAGCTATCCGCAGCTTATGCAGCACGAGTTCGATCTCTGGCTGGCCAGGGAGCTACCCACATGGCACAACAGATCTCTTTTGTCCACTGCTCCCCTCAGCAGTGTATTTGTCAGTCTACCTGTTCTGTTCCCCACTCTGTCTCTGATGAATCCTCTCACCTCCCCCTACCTCTGGCCTGTACCCTAGTTCTTGTATGCATAAATAAATACATCTTTAAAAAAATTGAAATACTGCACTAGGCATATTCCAAGTGCTGGACAATCACATGTGGCCAGGGCTACTGCACCGGACAACACAGCTAGAGGAGTTTTTCATCAGGGCAGAAGCCTGGTGGGGCAAAGTAGATTCTGGACAGCAACAATGACAGGCAGCAGCAGAATGCCAGGTTCCTGAGTAGGCCAAAGGGACAACTCCAGGTAACAGAAAAGGGGTCCTTCTGGGGCAATGAGAGCTCTAGCACCCACTCACTGGGTACAGTGAGGTCACACAGGCACATCTACTCCAACAAGCATCACACCAGAGTGTGTGTGTGTGTGTGTGGTGGGGGGAGAAGGATTGGCTTGAGGGTGCTCCCAGCAGGCAAGGGCCTTGGTCATACAGCAGAGGCCTGCTCCCGCAGAGTCTTTTCTAAAAGTCCAGGCACGGGGGGGGGGGGGGGGGGGGGGGGGGGGGGCAGGGAGCTATGCCAAGTGGAGGAACCCAGGCTGCCCTCTTGGAAACAGCAGAATCTCCAGTCTCCAGGAGGCGGGGCCCAGTGGGAGCCCGGCCCTAGGTGCCCAAAAAGAGCGGTCCCAGCCCTGGCGGGAGGGAGGGGGCACCTGGCTACCTCGACAGCATGAAAGCTCACGCCGGGCCGCCAGGCCAGGGCCCCGGGCCAGGGCCCCGGTAGGGGCGGGGCCGCGCGCGGCTCCGCCCCCGGCGTCACGGCCTCCCCGGGGGCGTCACCCCCGCCCCGCGCCCCAGGTAGCGGGGCCGCAGCTGCGGGCGGTCGCAGGCGGCGCTCCGGGGCGGCCCGCGGGCCGGGGTGGGGGCGGGGGCGGGGGCGGGCAGGGGGCGTTCCCACGGTCCCGCCCCGCGCCCGCCGCCCGTGATGTCACAATCGCGGCCGGCCCCGGCGTTCCCGGGTCGGCTTCGGGCGCGGGGCTGCGAGGCGGCGATTGCAGCGGGCAGCGGGCTCCTGAGTCATGGACTTCCCCTGGCCCCTCCTCTGCCACTCCCACTCCCGCGCCGGGCCCCCCGCAGGGGCTAGCGTTCGCGCGGCGGCTCCGAGGGGGTGGGGCTGCTGGGAATGGCTGTGCCCCCTTCGGCCCCTCTGCCGTGCTCGCCCTTTTACCTGAGGACCCAGGCGCCGTGCCCGCAGTGCTCATGGGGCATGGAGGAGAAGGCGGTGGCCAGTGCGGGCTGCCGGGAACCGCCAGGCCCCCCGAGGGCCGCCGCCGTCCCGTGCTTCGGCGTATCCGTGGACCAGGACGACATCCTCCCGGGCGCCCTGCGCCTCATCCAGGAGCTGCGGCCGCATTGGCAGCCCGAGCAAGTTCGGACCAAGGTAGCCGAGCGGGCGCGGGGCCCGGGAGAGGGCCCTGCCGGGGCTGGAACGGGGATGCGTGGACGTCTGTCGGTGCATCCTTCCGGGTGTCGGTCCCAGGGGTGCGCGGCTGCTGAGCAGGAGAGGGTTGGAATGATGGCTTGTGTGTGTGTTTCACCTTCTGTTTTGGCCCCTGAGCCAAGCTGGGTTCCCACCTCCCTTGACCCCCCATAGCCCCCCTTCTCTTGGGGCGCTGGTGCACACCGAAGGTCCACCTGCCTGCCCCCACCCCGCGCGTGTCACACACCCTGTCGCTGCGTGCTGGTGCCCCTCGATGCCCAGAAGCGCCTATCCAGCCGGCCCTGAGACCTGAGGAGGCAGGAACTTTTCAGGAAGCCCCCACACTTACACGTTGCTGCCACCCATGGTGGGGACCAGCTCCAGGCTCTGAGCCTTCCCTGGAGCCACCCTGTGGAAAGCCGGCTGGCCCCGACCCCCCTCGCTGGGGGGAAGCCCTCACCCTCCCTGCAGCCTCAGGCTGGGCACCCACACACACACATACAAACACTGGACACACGCTCAGGGACACAGGTGTGGGTAGAGCCTCCCCTGAGGACCCTCAGCTGACCTGCATCCTCTGCAAAGAGGCTTCACCTGCCCACCTACCTTGCCCCTCTGGGAGCTGCCTGTGGAGAATGGTGCCTGCAGCTTGTACTGAAGTGGTAGGGGCTCCATGCTGATGGGCCTTCCTGTGGGGAAGGCCAGGTTCAGTGCAGATGTGGAGACTAACATACCCTGCTGGTGGAAGGGTGGTGGGTAGCATTTTCAAAATGAAAGTACCAGTTTGGTGTAAGACTCTCAAGGGATCCCTGCGCCCCTGGTTAATTCCAGCACTGACATGACACACTATCGGCCAGTCCCTCTGCCTCAGTTTCCCCATGTAGAGTTGGCTCAGGTGTCCTCTAAGTCCCCTTCCAGCTCTCACACTGTGCCCAGTGGTTCATGCCTCCTTGCCACCTAACCCAGGAGTCTGCTGTCCCAGCCCAGTTACCCTTTTCTGGTGTGCCACCCAGAGGCTCTAAGAGCTCTGACCGCTAAAGCCCTGGGGTGGGTGCCAACCTCGTGCCCTCCTGTACTTCTGCCACTGGATGGGGTGAGAGGACAAAGAGCCTTCTGCCTGACAGGCGGTGAGAGGCAGTGGTTCCTGGGCAAACTCCAGTCCTTCCTACCACAGTCTGGCCCTTGGAGGCTCCCTTTTCAGGGCCAGGGAGGAGGGGGCTTCTACCCACCAAGTAGTGTGGAAACTCCTGCTTGCCAAATCCTGTTCACTAGAGGCAGACCAGGAAAAGTGAGGGTGCCTGGGCTGAGCCCAAGCTGCCATTTTCCCCTGGAACTCTCTAGACTACCCCAAGCATTGTGGACAAGGCTGAGCCCTCAGGGCTAAGAGGCAATTAGTTCTGTGTGGTCATACTTAGTCTCCAAATAAGCCATTTGTGTTGACCTGGGGAGCCCTGGGGCCAGAGCAGAGACTTGCCCTGTACACCCTGCCACTGTCCTCTCCTTATACCAGCGCTTCACTGATGGCATCACCAACAAGCTGGTGGCTTGCTACGTGGACGAGGACATGCAGGACTGCGTGCTGGTCCGGGTGTATGGAGAGCGGACAGAGCTGCTGGTGGATCGTGAGAACGAGGTCAGGAACTTCCAGCTGCTGCGAGCACATGGCTGTGCCCCCAAACTCTACTGCACCTTCCAGAACGGTCTATGCTATGAGTATATGCGGGGCATGGCCCTGGGGCCTGAGCACATCCGGGAGCCCCGGCTCTTCAGGTGAGAGGGGTCTCCCAAGGACTGCTCATCTCCCTAATTCTTCAGGCTCTCAGCTTTGAAGTCCTTGGCCAGCTTCTTAAGGGTGGAGTGGACTGCATGAACACGAGTCCTAAGATTGGCAGACTCTGTCATTGTGTGAAAAGCGTGCATGTGTGTGCATGTGTGCATTGCTCTGAAGGACTACAGCGTTCTATGATTTTCAGTGGGGTCTGCCAGAAGGACGAGTTCTTGGGGGACATTAACATGTGTTTCGGTGAACATCGACATCTGG